AAGGCAAAGCAAGAGCTTTTTCTATTTACTTCAAAAACGTTCTTTTTTCACAAAATATCATGGCTGCCCTTTTTAAATTGAAAACCTAGCTTCAAAGAAGAAGGAAAATGAAATGGGCCTCAATAGTTGTGAATTGGGCCTAATTCATCAAAACATAAAAAGCCCATAATTCATTAAAGATTACAATTAAAATTCCTAATTAGCCCTTGTACTCTTCTTGTCCTTCCAAATTTATCCCTTGCACAAAAACATAAGTGACTATCTTTGGTGAAGCTTTGGAATCTTCGAGTTTTATTTTAGAATCCTCTAGCACGGTCTCTTTGTATTGCACTTCCATAATCAAGCCTTACAGAGCCTCTTTCATCCGTTGTCTTTACCCTAGTCATCGGACCGCCAATTCCTTGTAAAGGATCTTGAGAATATTTGGGAGTATCAACTTGGTCAGCACCTTGATTACCTTGATCCCCATCACTTCCTCAGCATACTTCTTCTGTCCAACAAAAATCCCATCAGCTATTTGTTTAAGCTCCATGCCTAGGAAATAATGCATCTATCCCATATCTGTCATCTCAAACTCTACCATCATAGACTTCTTAAATTCAAGAAACATTGTCTCATCATTCCCAGTATATATGAGATCATGTACATAGAGACATACTATTAAAATTTTACCTCCTTTTTCATGCTTGATGAATAGTGTATGCTCATAAGGACACTTTTTGAAACCCACCTTTGTGAAGTAGGACTCAATGCGACTGTACCAAGCTCTAGGAGCTTGTTTCAGTCCATATAAAGCCCTCCTTAATTTGTACACCTTATGTTCTTCTCCTATCTTGACATATCCTGGTGGTTGCTCCACAAAAACCTATTCATTCAAGTATCCATACAAGAAAGCTGATTTTACATCGAGTTGATAGATAAGCCAACTGTTTTGAGCTGGCAATGACACCACCAATCGAATTGTATCATGCCTAGCCACAGGTGCAAAAACTTAAGCATAATCTATCCCATATTCTTGTGTAGCCCTTAGCCACTAGCCTGGCTTTATGCTTGTCAATTTCTCCATTTTCTTTGAGCTTTGTTTTGTAAATCCATTTGACTCCAATAGTTTTCTCCCGTGCTGGTAGCTTAGTAAGTTCCCAAGTATTATTCTTTATAATGGCTTCAATTTCTATATCCATGGCTTTCCTCCATTTTGAACTTCTCATAGCATCATCAAAGGTGATTGGATCACTGTCAGCAAACATGGCTGATTGAGCAGTATTTTCATTATCAAATAACTCATCCCCACTCGCATAATCTGTCATCCATACAGGAGTCTTTTTAATCTCGTTTCTCTGATTCTGTGCTCCTCTAATTTGTCTCCAGATGATTCATTTTCACCAGCTAAGCCTGCTGAACTAGTGTCCACAACTGAATTCTCCTCATTTTCTTCAAGATCCACAGCTATCTCTTCTTCTCCGATAACTATCCAATTCCAACAAGCTTTTTCTACAAAAATTACTTCTCTACTGACTATGATTCTTTTTAGTAACTGGATTATACAATGCCTTGGACTCCTCACTAACCCCAAGCATAACACATGACACACTTTTGACTTCAAGTTTGCTTAGCTTATCATTAACATGAGCATAAGCTAAGCAACCAAACACTTTGAAATGAGCAACTCCTAATTTATTCCCACTCCAAACTTCTTCTGGAGTCGTATCCTTCACAGCAAATGTTGGACATCTATTCAAGGTATGAACACTCAAATTCAAAGCTTCAAGCCAAAAAGTCTTAGGCACTTTTGTTCTTGTGAGCATGCAACGTACCATATTCTTAATCCTACGATTTTTCCTTTCTGAAATCCCATTTTGCTGTGGGGTGTAGGTCGTCGTTAACTGTCTATGTACACCATTTTCTTCACAAAAGGTAGTAAACTCATGTGAAGTGAATTCTCCTCCACGATCACTATGAAATGCTTTAATAAATACCCCGACTTCTTTCTCAACCATAATTAAACTTCTTAAAGACAGTTATAGCCTCATATTTTTCAGATAAGAAGTACGCCCAAGTTTTCCTACTAAAATCATCAGTAAAAGTGATGAAGTACCTCTCGTCGCTGTTGGAGATAGGATTAATAGGTCCACATATGTCTAAGTGAACTAGTTGAAGATTTTTTGATGACTTCCAGGTGCTTTGTTGAGGAAATGACACACGGTGTTGCTTTCCAATCACGCATTCTTCACAAATTTTTGAGGGAGCTTGTAGCCTTGGTAATCCAGTAACCATTTGCTTCTGTTGTAAAGTTTTCAGACCATTGAAACTTAGATATCCATACTTGTAATGCCACAGCCAGCTAATATCCTCTTGAGTGGTGGATTTGAAGCACTTAGGATCACTAGATAAAGCTTTTGTTTGCAGTGGAAACATTCTGTTTGGAGCCATCTCAACTTGTAAGAGTACACCTTTCTTAGGATGATGGATTTGACACACATTCTTTTGAATAAGAATGGCAAATCCCTTTTCTTGACCAAGGCTGATCAGATTGCTCTTCAATTCAGGTACATAGAAAATTCCAGAGATGTAGTACTCCACATTATTTACTTTAGTGTTGATGTCCCCTTTCCCTTTGACACACAGGCTAGAGTTGTTCCTAGCTTTACATCCTCTCTGAAGCTTTCATCAAGTTGCACAAAAAGGTCCTTGTCTCCACTCATGTGATTACTGCATCCGGAATCAAGATACCGCAACTTGTCTACAATATCTTCTTGCATATTCACATAAGCCATAAGCAACATTTCTTCTTCAGCTTTAGCAAAATTTGCTCTGTTACTTTGCTCCTTTTTAGGGCACTCATATTGAAAATGCCCAAATTCATGACAATGATAACATTTAATATCAGACTTATCAAATGAACCTTGGCTCCCTCTTCATCTCCCACGACCTCTATAGCTTCCACGACCCCTTCCTCTCCCAGGTAAGTTGTTTTCTTGACTCACTTTCAGCACTTGTTCCTCCATAACATGGCCAATAATTCTCTGTTCATGCACAAGCAGGCTGCTTTGCAATTCATCAATGGAAATGTCATCTATCTCGTTGGATTCCTCAATAGAACAAACCACATAATCAAATTTTGGTGTCATAGATCTCAGAATCTTTTCAATTGCCACCACATCATCCATCTTTTCACCATGGATTCTCATCTTGTTTGCTACTGTAAGCACTCTTGCAAAGTAGTCATTGACTAATTCTCCCACCTTCATGTGAAGCATCTCAAACTCTTTACGAAGAGCATGCAACTGTGTACGTTTGACTCTAGCCGTGCCTTGATACTTGGAAGAGGTAGTTCTTGGTCTTCAAGTCCTTCAGTTTCTGATCTTCCAGGGCTTTGTTTTGAGCATCACTTAAAATAATTCCTTCAACATATGTTGTGATCCCATTCTCTATCAGGTTCCAATATTCTTTAGAGCGCAAGAAATTTTCCATGAGCATGGACCAATGATCATAGTGTCCGTCGAAACGTGGGATAGCAGGTTGCACAAAATTACTTCCTTCTCCAACCATTAACTCTTGTTGCTGCAAGTAGAGATGGCAAAAAAAATCAAACCGTCCCTCCCCGAATGAGGCGAAAAAAACCTCCCCGAACGAGTTGGCGGGGCGGGGCGAAGATGACCCGCCCCGTGAACCATTAAAAAAAAGTATCCACGTATTCTCTACTAGAATACATGATAAACAAATGTTTTTTGTAAGTAGAGTTATAGATTTATGTACTTAAATTTGATGAACAAATATTTTTTAGAAGTAGAGTTATAAATTTATGTTCTTAAATTTGATGAACAAATATTTTTTGGAAGTAGAGTTATTTTTTTCCTTAACCGTATAATTGAAAAATTTTTAGGACAAAAAAAATTATAAAAAAAATAAACGGGGCAAGGAAACGGTCCTGTCGCGTGTCCCGCCCCGCCCCGTCTAAGGCGGGGCGGGGCAAAGAGTGGGAGTGGCGGGGTGGGGCGAGCTCCGCCCAGCCCCGTTGCCATCCCTAGCTGCAAGTTAGAAAGCTACTGCCTTGTTGAGTTTTCAGGCTCTAATGAGGGGCTCTGATACCATATGTTACATATTTTGGAATGTCAATTGAAGGACCATATTATTGAATAATGGACTTGACTTTAAATAGCCTTACAACTTGAGATAACAGAAGAAATAAAAAAATGATAGGTCCCATGAATAACAAACACTAAGATCATGGAATTCTCCTAAAATAATGCTCAACATAAAAGACTCTTTCAAACTTTCCCTAAAACTAAGGGATTATTCAGCTAAACAAAAAATTAATTAAACTACCAATACGTTTAACACATCTTGGTTCAAAGCTCAAGGTCATTGGAAGCTTTACCTTCCATGCCAATACGTATTGTCAGTGGTGGGTCAAATAAACGTGCCACTACACTATTCAATCAAAAGAAGAGGACCCCACCCCCATCCACATGATATTTATAAGATTACCGCTAACGGACTGTTTGCATACAAAACATTCTTGGGAAAAGAAACATACAAAGTGCTTGTTTGGTAAAGATTAAAATCCAATTAAAATTGAAAATAGAGCCTTTATTAGGTCTCATTCGTTTAATAAAAGTCAACAACGACCAGTTTTTAAATTTTAATTCGATTTTAATCTCTACCGAACACGCCCTAATATGAAACTGTTAACATACATGAGAAGAGGGAAAAGACACGGAGTGAGGTTTTCCTGAGCTGTACAATGCAGCAGCGAACCACAGGCCTGTTGAACAAATCAGACGAGACACAAAGGAATGGCTAAGACCGTCGTAAAGGCTACTTCAAAGATATGCCTCAAAACCAGACAACATTTGCTCTCCAAATGGTACAAACATGAGAGGATAAGAAACAAATTATATTTTTGAAAAAGAAGTTACAAGATTACAGTCAAAAGTAAGTTTGACGGAAAAGGAAATATGTTGTCTACAACTGCATTCCTTGTGTTACAGTAGGTGCTCTCATATGGTTTGTAGCTGAGAGAAGGAAATCCGAATGGTTGCACCACCAAGGGATGTGGCATGCTTGCACACAAGGGCTTCTGTAGCCTGTTCCTCGTTTTCAAAAAGGATAAGAGCTTGCTTCTTTCCATTCATCTCAAATAGTTTTGTACTAACAATTGTGCCATGCTCGTCCAAATGAGTTACTATTTCCTCTTCAGTCACATCCTGAGGAAGGGTGGAGATGTGGATCATTTTTGTTGGTGAACAACAATATCGATAATTTTTAGCAGCATTTCGATTGAATCGGTTGAGATTTGAGTTTGAATAATCGTGAGTGTCGGCCCCAGTTGTAATGTTTGGATGCTTTGAAAAATTGACCTCCAAGTGCTTCCCAAACAGCATGGCCCCCTACGTTGGAAACTTGTGCAAATTTCAGTGACAGTCATCAAGAGAACAGTA